TTTCATTATATAAAAAGGTGAAAAAAATCCTACTCAGCAACCACCCCTACAGAAAGTGCTAGTAATCATAATAAGGACTGGGGAGAGGAATGAGAATAGTCATGGGATTACAAAAACAAAAAAATAAATGCTACTATAATAACTGAAACACAAAGTAACAGTAAGAACATGAACAAAATAACAACAAAATGATTGTAATCAACATATATATTTCATTAATATCTTTAAATATCATTGGCCTCAACTTCCCATCCTAAAGACACAGGTTAGTTTAATGGGGAAAAAAATTCCATCTTTGTTATCTATAAGAAACTTTGCTTTGATGGGACTGCCTGAAAGTTAAAGACTAGAAAGAAGTCACCTAAGCAAATGGGACCAGAAAGTAATATGACATTGACATCCTAATGTCTGACAAAATGAACTTCAAGTAAAACTAGTCAGAAAGATAATGATAGATATTTGTATATGTATATGCAAAAATTCTGGCTTGCTGACTTCATTACAAGTATATTACCAGAGTTATAGGCAAAAATAAATAGTAGGTGATATGAATACTCCATTCTCTCCAATAGATAATTAATTTGGAGAAAAACAGAAAAGTCAAACTTGAATGATAAGTATACATCAAATAAATATAACAAGTATCTACATACTATTCTACTGAAGCACCAAAGAATATGCATTCCACATATTAGTTAAAAGAAGCAGCTGGTCTGGGACACAGAACAAAGCAATTTCTGAAAAAAATTGAGCAACTGCATATATAATTTCTGACCATGATGCAATAAAGCTCCAAATCAAATGAATCCATAGTAATTCCACATATCATGCAGAATGAAGAACACATTGCAAAATTATTCATCATATCCTCATTAAAATCAAAAGAGGTAAACAAAAGAGGTAAAAACAAAAGAGGTAAAAGACCTCCAATATGAAAATCTAGTGTCTAAATGGAAGAATTAATGAAAACATTAGATGATGGAAAAAAAGCTGCCATACTTATGGACTAGTAATTTTGAGACCTAAAAAGAAAATACCACATATTATTTCTCAGTTATGTTTCCTAGCTCCAAATCTTTATTGTGAGCTTATAACTGGATTCTTTGCATTTAAAAAATGGAAACGAGGCCACTGGTAGGAGGGGAAGGAACTTTAATAAAGGAAATAGGATAAGGGGGGATATGAATGAGGAAATTGAGAAATGTGAGAGCTTTAACTGAGCAGGTAAAAGGGAATAAATATTAAAGGAAAGAGAAGAAAGAAAGATAAATAATACTATTTGAAGTCATTGTTTTATGTTTGCTTAAAATTACACACACAAACACACACACACACAAAGTTGTGCTGCTTGGGGGTAATAATCATCCAAGACTCCAATAAAATTCATTGATTTCTAACAAAACCCCTATACTAAGCAACTCATGCTGTTTCTGGTTCCTCCCAGAAAGTGAAGCTAAGACCTTATTGCTGAAGGTACTCTTTGAACACATGACTTGTAGGAGGCAAGCTCAATCTGACTTTGAAGCCTCTCTCTTCATGGCTAGCTTTCATAGTACCAAGAAGAACTATTCAATTTGCCAAGGGAAAAATTTATAAACAGAAAGTCAAATGGTGAAACCTACAAACTACAATATTGCTCAGGACCATAAAATGTCCCCAAAGGTACAATTGTGGTTTTGTGATTTGTAGCCACTGTCTAATTGCACTTAAGTCCTGCTCTATAGGAGGGAATTTATAACTGGTACTTTAAACCTAGTTATCTTCCCATGGCAGATATGGTAAGATGCAATTGAGAACACAATACTGAAGCTATCCTAAATCAGTATCTGTTACAGAATATTCCTTTACAGGTGTGAGGATGTGACACTCTGATTTTTTTTTTAACAAAAATCTGAATGGTCAATAGCTAGGAAGGGAGAGGAATTCTCGATAAAAAGAAGTCTTGGAGAAGAAGTGGGGATCGCCAGCCAGATGCAGAGGAAGGAAGGCATACAGGAATGGAGGTAAAATCCAGGACCCACATGGAAACACGGAGATTAAAATAAATTTGTTATTTTAAATTATAAGAGCTAGTGGGACAAGCCTTAACTAAGGCCAAGCTTTCATAATTAATAAGAAGCCACCATGCCATTATTTTTGGAGCTTGCAGTCCAGAAAAAGGTGCATTATGTGCAAATTCTAACCACATTCTAAACACCTATCCTTATATTCACAGTTCTAAGTATATCATGTCCCTCTTAACTATTACCAAAGCCACAAGTGGTCAAGTGGTCAAATTACAAAATAAACAACTTACAGAGGGGAGCCCAACTCCAATATCTACATATTTCAATTCCTATATCCAAGGGTAAGAAAACAACTGGAGAAGGGATGAAAAATTATAAGCCAGAGGTCCAAGATGTCTGTCATGGGCTGTGCCCTGGACATGACAGGAACAAAAACACAATGAAATCTCATGAATATGGCTCCCAAAAATAATACTTATAAAAGGTCAAAATCAGTTGGCATGCCAACATGCAAGAGGAAAAATCACATAAAATCTCATTTTTAGGCCAGGTCCACAGGTACAGTAGTGGCTCAAATACTACAGAAGTAATCAACAACTTTTTGATTGGACTTAAGACCTACTCCATGATGGAACCCACACAAGGCACTGATAAAGTGGCCAGAAACCTGAGACTAGATAGCATTAGGCCTAATATTACTATTCTACAAAATGAACATAGCAATAAAATAACTCCTAATGACATACAGTTTTATCTGTCATTTGTGGACATAGGACTTGGCCTGGTATATGGTATATACAACCAGTGATATTCCAATGAAGAAAAGTGATTTTCCCACAAATGTCATTCAATCAACACCAGAGAAGCATCTTCTTACAGTGGATGGGAATTAACACAGAGGCCCACGAGTGATCAATGTGCCCAATAAGACTTTATATCACTAAGTCCTAAATAGGATAACTTCACCAAAGCCCACACCTAAATGTTCAGGGATCTATATGGAAAAGAAAGGTAAGACTGTAAGAGACAGAAATTATGAGTGCCTTCAAGTAAATACTGTCTTCCAGAAATAGCAGTACTCATATCATACAAGTTCAGAGAGATTGTGGCAGCACATATAAGACTTGCACAGATGTAGTCCCACCCCTGACAAAGGCACCTCTATACATGAGGACCCAACTCTAACCATGATATTGTAATCAACTCATATGCACTGGTAAAGGGAAAACCACTTTTCTTCACTGGAATCTCACTGGTTGTATATGCCATATGCCAGGCCAAGTCCCATGCCCACAAATAGTTTGACAACACAAGAGGAATTCAATGATATTTTTGTAAATTTGTTCAATTTTATTTTGTTTTCACATTATTTTCTTTTATTGGACTTTTGCTTATTTGTTTTTGTTTTTGTCTTTTGATGATTTATATGTATGTTTCTTGATTTGCTTTAGTATGTTTTTTGTTTGCTTTTGTTTTGTTTTTTAATGAGAGGGAGAGAAGAAAAGGGTCACAAAGTTGGGTAGATAGGAGTATGGGATGGATCTGAGAGAAGTTGGAGAAGGCACATAATCAAGATATATGAGAAAATGTTTCTGAATTAAAAGGAGATGAAAAGTAAACCCACTTTTAGATGGAGAGCTACAGATAATTAATGGCTTCTGAAAGAGAGTCATTCTTCTCCAGGGATGATCTCTCTACTTGGCTGTCTAGTGTCAAATGTTAAGCACTAAGTACCTATAAGTAATAGAAACATTAAATAGAGGAATGTGTGTGTGTGTGTGTGTGTACACTCGAGCATGCACACACACAATAACACACACACACACACACACCTGTTTGCTTTTATGATGTATTTAGAGATATGGAGGTCATGGAATTTTTATGGGAATGGGGAGGTAGTACAATAAGTTGGAAGGAGCAAAGGGAGATGTGGAAATAAAAAAAAAATCAAAGATCTAAGTAAAATCTACATAATAGTGTTATACCCTTTTCAGTACAAAAATTAGGATATTATGAAGTGATTAATCGTGAACTCTTATGAAATCTCTTTTAATAGAATATTGTGTATAAAATTTTTATGTCCCTAAAATTGTTATTTCTCAAAACATTTTGAAGAAATTTAAATGTTAGCATAACCTGATATCAAGTATTTGTAGGGTAAGCTTATTTTTGTGAACATGTAGAATGCCTTTATTTAGTTTTATTGCCCATAACTAGAAGCAGTTGTCACTATTATAAAAGTAATTTTCTAAAACACTAAATAATATTTTTCCAGAGCTTACATTGGCAGTGATGGTTAAGAAGACGATATAAATGTATCTGTCAGACCAGGATTGAGTAATAAAATAGCAGCCCCAACCTAGCATGTCCCAAAGTTGTATGAACTACATTAGCCTAACACAAAACATTTGTAACAGAGAGTAAAATCAGTAGTAAGGAGTGTCTTTCTCCTATTTGTCTTTAAATATGTGTTTCAAAGTTTATAAATTGTCTGACGAAGCTTTACAGATTACACATTGAATGGTTTAATCATCAATTTAAACATATTAGTGAAGAGTTAAATGTTTAAAATAAGATCTAAAATAAGCATATATTTCCTAAGGATCAGTTTGTAACTCATTTAGAAAGAACAAGTGGCATGCTTAGAAGAAGGTAGCTATCCCTACTCTTTCTCTAATTCATCCAGTCATTTTTTTTATTTTTTAATAATTGTTTTTGTTTAAATTTGAAACAAGCTTGTTTTACATATAAATTCCAGTTCCTGCACCTTCCTTCCTGCCCCTTTCCCCCAACCAACCCCTATCCCATCCCCTTTCTGCTGCCCCAGAAGGGTGATGCCTACCATGGGGATTGTTCATATCACTTGGAGCAGGGCCTTGGCCCTCCCCAATGTGTTTAGGCTGAGAAAGTATCCTTCTATTCAGTCATTCTTTAAGTAGGTTACCTTTAAATCTCCAAGACAGGAACTATTTTTTTTTTCCTTTTGGAAATTACCTGGGCACTTCAATTCATCTGAATAGTCTCCACAGTCATTAGACCCATCACATATCCAGCTTGGCAAAACACACAGTGAGGTAGAGTTACATCTTATGAATCCTGTGGATTTTACTCCAAGTTTATAAAAATGTGTACAATCTGTATTATCTAGAAGGATACAAAAAAATGAAATTAAAACTACATTTGCAAAAATTATGAAGTTTCTATGTAGGTCTAGAGGCAAGAAAACTAACATCATAAAAGAAGTAAAAGTACAATTATACTACACAACAGGGTTAATTACATATCAATTCTGGAAGAACTTCAGGAAAACTTGGACAATGTTCAACTCAATGCCAACAGGTGTTCAGACATGAACAAAAAAGGAAGTGATGATTCTTACTACAGTTCTTTTCATCTGAAGCATCTGCACAGTCTATGTTTTGGTTGCATCGTGCTGATCTTGGAATGCAAGTCCCATCTGCACAGCGAAATTCAAATGTGGAGCAGGTTGACACTATAAAAAACAAAACAAACAAACAAACAAAAATTGTAATTAAGTAAATAGGCCAATGAGATTGAAAACTACTGCTCCTTCATATTTTGAGAACTTTTATAAATTTATGCAATTTTATTTTAGTTCAGTTTTTGGCTTTATATGTCTAAAGTGACACACTGGCACTCTAACCTTCACCCCAATGTGTCTCCTATGTCTTTTATGTAATTCTGTCTTAAGTGTGGATATCATCACACACATGCAGGTTCATGTACCTTAGAATCCCCTATGAGATAGTTTCCATTAAAGTATGAGTTACATTTTGTTCATTCTGATCACATTGACATAGCATTGAAATGGCATTAAAATTGCAATGAAAATTCCCTCTCCTTCCATTTTCTATATTATAATGTCATGACCAGAAGTAATTGTATGACTGCATGCTACAAAGGAATTCTTTGTGCTACAGAAGCAGACATAAATAAGAGTTGGGAAAGAGAAGTGGATACTGGGTTTATTTAATTACCCAGAATGGACAATTGAGAATTTTCATTAATTAAAAAAATCATCTATACAATGGTACATGCTATAGATGAACATATTACTGCTTGACCATGTTGTTAATATTTATCATAGCAAATACAGATGACTCACAGCAACAAACATGTATATTTTGTCTCCCTGATAATATTATAAAAGTATGACTTTAGAATTCCCTATTATTAGATAAAAATATGTTTAAGTATTTTAATTTTCTTATATATAGGTCTTAAATAATACATTGTTAATTATACACTTAAACACCCATTATCATGTAATAACTTTCAGCAACATATTGTGAACAGGTACATGGTATTCTATGTATGTTACATTAAATTGAATGAGATTTTTATTCCAATTTTAATTTCCTCAGGCAGATTTTATCAATGAATAACATAAAATACTCTTTAATTATGCAGCTTTTATTTACATTGATATTGTAAAGTGCCTATTTAATTATGAATAGAAATTATATCAATTGAAAATTAGTTTAAAAGCAATCTTAAAATATGCAAATTTTACTCAGGGGTATGTATGTCATTTGTATTTCATAATACACTGCTCTTATTATACTTAATTGTATCTTGAAATTGCATACTTATTTGTGTTTAAATGATGATTAGAATAAATGTTTTATTTACTATTTGTGATTAAAATTGCTTCACTGATTCTTCACTAAAAACAACTTAACATATGAAACAGATAATACCATCATCTGAAGAGATAAATGCATTGTTCCACAAGGGAAAAATAATTTGTATGCCCCAAAAAAGTGTTTTTAATATAATATTCTATTTCATGTTCAGTTTTCTTTCACTGAAACAGTAAATATATAATACATGTAAAATAGTTAAACTTAGTTAGTCTTTCAATAGCTATACTCCAAAAGATTCCTTATAATCTCTTTGTTTACAAAACAGGATGCATTTTCTTTCCTTTTTTTATTTAAATTTGAAACAAGGTTCCTCCCCTATCACTCCCACCAAACCCCTGCCCATCCTTTTGTATGCTCCCCAAGGAGGATGAGGCCTTCCATGGGGAGTCTTCAAAGTCCATCATATCATTTGGGGCAGGGCCTAGGCCCTCCTCCATGTGTCCAGGCTAAGAAAGTATTCCTCTGTGTGGGAATTGACTCCCAACGTCCATTCATATACTAGGGATGAATACTGATCCACTACTAGAGGCCCCATAGACTGCCCATTCCTCCTAACACCCACATTCATGGGGTCTAAGTTAGATCTATGCTGGTTTTCATCAGACTGGTGTGCATGAGCTCCCCCTTGTTCAAGTCAGACTATTCTGTGGGTTTCTCCATCCTGGCTTTGATCTCTTTGCTCATCAATCCTCTGTCTGTGTTACAGGATTCTGGAGTTTTGCTACTTTTTATCTGTGGGTTTCTGCTTCTGCTTCCATCTACAAGGATGAACCCAACTAACAATCTAAACAGTGGAGAGGCTACCTTTAATGCCCTTCCATGAAAATGAGATTGACATCTACCTTATATGCCATCCCAACATGCATTTCTTTATGAACTAATGCTAAAGATATAAGATAATCCACAAATGTGCATCTAGAAAATTATTTAAACATTGAATCCATGAAAGATGCCAAGAAAATTGTGAGGATAACTGCACCATCATGGTATCATCTCCTTCAAACTTCTACAAGAAGACCTTCATGTGGTGGGAGGAAGTACATCTGAAAAATGGATGAGGTACTCAAGAGAAAAGTTATGACCCCAAATATATGGCTTGTCTATGAAGTACACTCAAGTTCCAAGGATCTTACAGTTACATAGTTTTCATATAGAACCCTGGAAGCTCTTATGAAAACCAAGAAAAGTGGAACCAGTAGAAGAAAGCATTGGGGTTCTGTAGTGAAAAAAAAAACAAACAAACAAAAAATAACCAGAACTCTTATATATGTTAAAAGCAAACAAAACTGTGAAGTTGAATATAGTTATTAGAGAACAGCATCAAGTAAGTGATGAGCAAGAGCTCAGGAGAGGTGCTGAAAGTAAAAGTATGGGATCCATTTCCTCTTTTCTTTTTTTTCCCAAAAGTATCTGAGTTGATTTTCTTTTGCTGTGAAAAAGATACCCTGACCAGGAGAATCCACAGAAGGAAGAGTTTATTTAGAGCTCACTGTACTAGAGGATGAGTCCATAACCATTATGGCAAGGAGAATGGCTACAGGAAGTCAGGCAAGCAAGAATGGTGCTAGAGCAGTAGCTGAAAGCTCACATCTGAAACACATCCATGAGGCAGAGGGAGAGAGCTAACGGGAAAGAACAGGGGTTTTTAAGACCTCAGAGCCTACTGGAATTGATAGACTTCCTTCAATAAAGCCAAATGTAATCCTTCCCAAGGAGTTCCACCAATTTGGGATCAAGTATTCAAACATATGCACGTGTCAGAACTAGTTTCATTCGAAACATAAAATATGGTTACTAAATCCTGGACAAATGAATGGACAACCATAAAGAGATTATAGGTGGTGAATGAAACTGATTGACCTCTTTTCATATTTCTTTGCTAATTGAGAGACACAGGAATCTTAAACAGCAATGAATGGGAAAGAAATTGGGATTTATAATGTGAATATATAATTCTGTAAGCATTAGTGCCAGTATGGTGGTAGGAGATTATGACTTCTACATCAGTAGTCAATGAGGTAATTTAAGAGAGAAAAATGTCACTCCACAAATTCTTGGGTTAAACACATGATCCCCAGCATTAAGTAGGAGGTATGTTTTGCTAGAAGAAGTAGCTTTCTGGGATGTGCCTCTGAAAGTTCGAACTGCCTCCAACTCTCTCTGTGTGTCTGCTTTCTTTCTGCCATGAGGTAAGCAGCCCCATATACATGCTGCCACAGTCAGGGAGTACTGCTTCATTGGCATCTAAAAAGATGAAACCAAAACCATGGAATTTGAGACCATGAGCAAAAAAAAAAAGCTTTTATTATGCTTTTGTGCCAGGTATATTCATCATACTGATGATAAACTATTTCTACCTGCAAATATCTATAAGTTCATTGAATACATGTATTATTTCTTTTTCCACTTCTGTGACAGCACATGGAAAAGGCAACTTATAGAAGGAAGAATTCATTTGACTTGCAGTTACACTGGGATAGAAGTCTGTTGTGACCAAAAATGAAGGCAGGAAGCATCAAAGGTCACAGCAGAAACTAAGAACTTACATCTCAAATCACAAACAGGAAACAGAGAGCAAACTCAAACTGACAAAGTCATTAAGCACTCAAAATCAGCTTGAGTGATGGACTTTTTACAAGAAGGCACACACCCAAAACTTGATAAAACAGAGCCACCAACTGATAACAAATAGTGAAATGCTTGTGAATATTGAGGATATCTCATTCAAGTCATTCAATAAGAAAACAAACAGTATTTCTGGAAGAAAAAAAATCAAACTCATTTTTTGTTGCTTCAATTACATTCTTATGGTGGTTTCTGAGGGAGAAATATTGAAATTTCTAATTTGACAAGTGAAAAAGAAAGTTATCTGATATTTTCCCCAGGCTACAAGTCTTGAATAAGTGAGAAAAGACAATTATTTGGTTCAAATAAAGATAGGCCAAGTATCAAATATTCAGTTTTTCCCTCCAGATAGTACAAAAGAAGTCATTAGTGCATAGAACACTAGTAAGAATACAACCACATGCACACCAGGAGTAGAAATGAGATACCACAAAATAAGTTCTGACAGGGACAATGGATCAAAAGGAACAATAAGATGAAAATCAAAACCACTGAGTCTTCCATACACTTTCCTAGTTTTTTTTTTTCCTTCTTCTACTTTCTTTTTATTTTGCCAATTAAAATTTGTTATAAGATAAAAAAGACATAAAATCAATAGGTTTTTCTGTGGTTCACAGTGTAATTCTTATAAGTAACTAAAGTTGATTCTCCTTGCTTTCCATGCTGCCTACAGCTAAAACATCTGACATGGAGATTTGAACACAAATGACTTTAATTTTTTTTGTCGCAATGCCAATTTGTTTACTTTCATGCACACCTTGTATTTAATGATTCCATAACTTCTTAGGTTTTCAAGCTGCACAAACACAGAGAGACTATTAATTTCTTTTTGAGCCATGGTTATGTTTTTCTTTTAGATTATTATTTGTGGATTCTTTCAATGTATTCATGAGCACTTTTGAAAACAAAGACAGACCTAATAGAAAACCCAAGCAGCCTTCATGTCTTCTTTAAGAAGACTCGGAATTCATGGTGTTCTGGTTTATCTGAAAGTATTCTAGTGGTGGAAGGTCACTGCTATACTTCCCAAGGGAAACAATTTACACTCATCTCAACACT